AGGTGCACCCGTTGTTATAGGGGTTGCTTAAATTTAGCACGAAGCGGCATTTTATGGAAAGGAAATATTAGTTTTTTTTAATTAAAGCGCAGGGCAGTGTAGGCGGTTATTTTTAAATTCGTTTTATTTTCATAAATTACACTGTCCTGTTATGCTGAATAGTGCGGCACTAACTGTCTGAGCAGTGTTTTTCCCAGCATGTTGGCAGGAAGCGCAGCAAATTTGCAAGTAATTGAACTAACTGTGGTTGTGTTGAAAGACCGGAAAATACAGACACTGACAGCCTTTGCGACACATCTTAAAAAACTCTAGTTTCAAAAAATAAATTGTGCATTTCAGCATACACCACATTGACTGATAATTTAAATGAGGAGAAAAACTTGCCATTTAGTTTAATTGTGCAAATAAATTTCCCGGTTGATGTGAAATGGGAACTAATAATATTGTTTTAGTGCAAGGAAAGAAAAAGTTTGTCTAACAGATATTTTTTTTCAAAACCCTAAGAATATGTTCAAGTTCCTGACAAATGAGTCCCACAAAACGCACCAATATCAGTCCCTGATACCTGACTTTGCTGCAAATTAGCATTCAGCAAGCATTTATCTTGATTTGTATACAGTTTCGGCTTCCTGGTTGCATCCTTTCAATGCTTCCTCTGATCGCAACGATTCTTCTGCTAAGCCCGTGTCCGCAGATGTCCTCCTCAATGGTACTGAGTGACAACGATATTTATGACCTTGACGACGTTGCTGATGACCCCCAGTTCCTAAAAAATGTGCTAGAGTTGGCAAAAAGGCCACGATTTTTGACCCGCCTGGGTAAACGCAGTCGGACTTTCCAAGCCCGCCTCGGAAAACGTGCAATGCACTGGAAACCAAGGTATCTGTAAGTCGATGTCAACGTTAACATTCCCAATTCCGATTGAGCATTTTTCAGTGAAAGAAGGGAACCAAGATGATGAACATTATGTTATTGGACTCATGGACTCATTAAATTTATTGAATTTGATTTCATAAATATATTATTCGTTTCTGACGTCTGATTTAGGTCAAAAATAGAACCCTTTTTAATTTTGGCGCTAGATCAGTCATCTAAATTTGTTATCTCCGTTCTGTAGTGCACGCACATACTATTTGAGTAATATTGGCAGCGTGATGTTGATCGGAGACATTCCTCACATTGTGCTAAATATGCAGTTGATAAAAGCCAAATCTGGTCAGTTAACCTAAGAGCATACTGCCATTAAGTCCCTTACAATTTTTTACATTAATCGATAAACTTCAATTAAAGTATAATTGTCCGTCTACCCTTACCAAAAGCTGTTAAGCTCAATAGTTATGTATTACAGCAACAACTAAGTAAACACGCGTTTTCCAGCTCCGTATATGTCCTCCATGTTAGCGTTCTCTCCAGCCCAATTAAAATATTATATGTTACCCCTGCAGCAGACACGATTTCCTCGTGTACAACACCCATATTTCTACTTTCTGGTTATCTTTATGTATTTCTGCCACGCTTTTCTAAACATTATTGTTCTGGTTATAATGCTCATTATAAAATACACTGTTTCTTTAACTTTATACTTGTGTAATAATCAAAGCTGTTATAAGAAGGAGGCAAAAAACGTATGAAGGAGTGATTCGATAGGGGTAAGGCTAGTTTGCAATTAGTTAAACATTTCTTAATATCGTAGCAACAGAAGTAAAATAACCTTAGGCACAGAGTAGTTTCCAGAAATTTTTACTTTTTGAAAATGCCCACATACTTTTGCACACAACGCAATTACCCATACCAAATACTTGTTACATAATTTATGCACAGTTTGGATGATAGATATGTGTATTTACCGTGGAGACTGATGATAAATAACGCCGACCCCGAAACTATGTGACCTAGATGTGCGTTCGCTTATCAATATTGTGTTTCACATTCTTTTGACGCATAAAGCAGATTTCAATTTTTTTCCCACTTAGGTCGCAAACGGAGCTGGCCTGACGTGGAAAAGGATCAAACTCTACGTAATTCAGTTGAAACGGAGAAGACTTCTTTGATGTTCATTTACAAAAATGACTATGTGTGCGAAGAAGTTTATTTGTGTTCATGTTTTAAAATATTTGAGAAAGCTTAACAAGTCTTGTCTGTTCCCACAGAAACAAAATGAAAGACTCCGCTGTATACTATTGTTTCTTGGTGTAATGATCGTTCTAGTTACTCAGGCATAATATGACTTAAAAGTGAATGAAAGCATTAGGAAATACTTATCGGTATGTGTTTAAGGTAAATCGAGTTAAAAATATGTTCCTTACATAGGAGACGTAACGTTACTATGTTAAAAAATTGGGCAACATTAATTTTTCTTATAAAAATATAAGAAAAACTGTAAATAATCCAGTGTATTTGGTTGTTCCGTTCAAGAGCTAAATTACACTGATATATTGTTTCTAACGTACTGCATTTCAAAACTAAACGGAAAACAATTGGTATGTCCTAAAACAAGTCACCAACAACCTTGCAATTTTTAAGGATATCCCCCAGCGACAACCATGTAATTTTAA